GGATTGAGAAATGCTCAACAAGATAGAATGACCGTTATTCCAGAAGCATGACACTACTGCATGCAGACCTGTCCAAACTTTGACCTCTGAACCCAGGGAAAGTCAAACTCACATGTGAGGTGGCTTCCATCTGTAATCTGTCCCTGGTTTTTCTGTGTCTTGCTTCCCCCTTGCATACATCAGGGGACCAGTAGAGCATGTACTTCATGAGTTTTGAACCTGAGCACAAAAAAGGAGAAAAGAGTCAGCAAACCATTCTAGACAAAACATGTCTACAATTTTAAAATAAACTTTCTTGTGGTCTAGAGGTTTCAGTGTACGCCTCTCATTCAATAGGTCCCGGGTTTGAAACCTGACAGCGACAGAAAATTTTCTTCTCTAAAATGTTCTCCTTTCACCTCCTTTCCTGTTCTCTAACCATGTTCTGTCATCTGCTTTCGTCTCCACTTTCTGCCCCCACCCCCACTGCCCCCTCCTCTGGGCTCCTAACTCTTTCTGCAGCCTTTCTACTGCTTCTCCTTGGCACCTACTTACTGTTGTCTTTCAACCACACCGCTGACCTTAGAGTAGGTAAGATCTAACACCTAGCCATCTTGGATAAGAACAAAAATCTCAGAGGTTCCATGTGCAAGCTGTGCGCATTAAAGATTCCTTGGTAGTGTAAAATCAATAACAGTAGGCTTCCGCTATCACCTGGGCAAAATTCAAAATTAATTCCTATCAAACTGAAAATGTTTAAAGTGTCCCATGCCCTCATATGACCTTATGCAGTTGCGAGCGCCACAAACACATACCAAAACAAACAAAGAAGGTGTTCTTTAAAATCGGTTTAGCCCTCATCCACAATTCATTTACACAAGAGAATCAACTTTCAAAGTGATTAAAAAAGGAAAGTACTCAAATATCCCACAATAAACATAAACAAATACTTTCTCTTTTTAAAAGACAGGCTGTTAGCATGGTTATATAAACCCTTATTTTTAGCTTCATGGAAATCTACTACCTTGAGTTTCAATTTCTAAAATAATGAAAACAAAACAGTCAACAAGCCGTGTAAAAGTATACTTTTACCATTTTCATATCAAGAGCCATTGATATTAAAAGATTTACCAAAGCACAATGATGACTTGACCCTATAGGCAAATTCCATTCCCAGGGTTTATTTATGAATACAATCAACGTTATCATGATCAAAAAGGCATGTAAACTGCATCTAATTTGGACTTTGAAAAAATGGTACTTCTTATCACGAGGGTGTGGTGGCCGAGTAGTTAGGGCGTTCGTCTCTGAAGCGGAAAGTCCGGGTTCGAATCTCGGTTCAGACACCGAATTTTTTCGCCCCCTCCTGCCTACTCAGCAGTCATAGGGACCTGACTTCGAGTTGGGGAGGTAAAGACGATGTGAAAAGGAATCGGCCATCCTACCACAATATGCCAAAGGCCCAGGAATTTGTCTCACTAACAAGGCAATCCCCAATGTCTGGATCGGATGCGGGAGCAACTTTTTACTCCTTATCACATCAGGAAGAGATCTAATTAAGCCCTTACCCGGGTACACAGACCAAGTGACATGAGCACTCAGTTTTGATTGGAGAAACTTTGGCTTTTCTACTGAGATGTTGTGAATGTGTGAACTCCCATGAGTCCTGCCTGTGAACCTGGTGTCTGTGTCTGAAATGGGAAAACACAAACGCCACATAAGAGCCAAATACCATAGCACTACATTTTGCATAATCACCAATCAAATGTATTTAAACAAAATACGGTCGATCCTGCTCTAACGGCCACCTGTATAAGACAATCACCTGTACAAACAGCCACTTCCTATTTGCCCACTTCCTATTTCCCCACTTGTTTTAGTTTTAGCAAGAGTTTTACGGCACTTGCAACACAATAAGGTCAGATAAGTGCTGAAGATTAGAGGTGTTACATAAAAAAGAAGGAGGAGAGATAAAGACGTTAGTTGTTTGATAGGATGCTAAAAGAAGGAGCAAACCACAGCAGAGCACCCGCCAACCACCCACTTTCCCCACTCATATCTGTATTATAATGACACTGTGTAAGATGTCCACCTGTCTAAGATGGTCATTTTTCTCCTCGACACTAAGTTGCCATCTTAGATAGTTTTGACTGCACTGAAAAACAATGTAAAACTAAATCAACTTTGCTTTGAGTAAGATAATTTATGATGAAACCAAGCAGAACAGGACAACGATAAGTTATCCACCTATAGCTTCATTATAGTTGTTCACTCCCTTTTCTTTAGCAAGTAACTCTTTCATCACAGTCATGGCTTGCCACAGTTCTCCTTTTACTTGCTTCATAGATTATGTCCTCTACATAACTGACATATCCTTCTACCAACTGCCCACATGCATTAGCGAGATAACCTACAGCTAAGGGCTTAGACCATCTTGTATTGCTTTTGACAGCCACAACAGTCACAACTAATTGACAACAGTCTTGCTGTCACTTCATCTCTGGATATATCTACTAAATATGGATAAAAATAAACATAAATAAATTCCACTTTATTGATCGATCCCCTTGAAGGTTTTGTTTCACACTGGCTTAAATAATAAATGAACAAGTACATTCATTCTTACATGCACGAATAATACACAATATCACAAACGTAGACAATCCACACACTATTGCTGGTCACTACTATGCAGCACTCTGTTTTTGATATGTGGTTATTGTGTCTTGCATAAGTCTGACAAATACGAGATCTCTTCTAGAAACTGATGCAAAGATCAGGCCACCAGAACGATGTAATAAATACATACTAAGGGATAAAACAACCATACCAAAATTTTAAAAAACCCATTTAAATGTCAGTCAATTATAAATAAAAAGTATGATTGCTTGGCAAACACCTAAAAATGAACTTTTTCCAATGCTAGACCTGTCTATAATACTAGAAATATAGAATTCTGTTTCAAAACCATAAAAGACGGAATTCTACAGGAAGACAGAAAACTAATCCAAGGAACAGTAACTGAATGGATGGGCAATGGGCAAAACTGAAAGAACTGTATTTGCACACATGACTGCTCCCACCTCAAAAGATGCACTAAATTCCCTGAGTAAAAGAGAACATGTCACCATCTTTTGCCTGCGAGCACAACACATCTCTCTGAATTCCTACCTAAACAGGATCCACAAGGACACCCCACCTGACTGCCCGCTGTGTGACTGCCAGGATGAAACAGTATCCCACCATCTCTTTATCTGCCCTGCCCTTAGTGACCTGCGTAGCACCTGCCTACCTGCATCCCCAGATGTCGGAAATACTTTTTTATACAGCAACAAAACACAAAACCAGTAAATTCTTTGCCGTATTGACACGCTGAAGGGCGAGAACTCAGATGGCCACTGGATCGGAAAAGTAAAAATAGGAAAGTAAAAGTAAAGTACGTCATACCTTCATCGACTGTCCGAGGTGCCGAGTATGCTTCAATAAAGATAGAAGCTGGTTTCCCTCTCACAGACTTGCCCTTCCACTTGACCACCGCTCTCACCTGACCAAAAGCAATAACGATAAATAACATTTGTATAGCATGAGTCCCTGCTCAACAGTAAGCTCTATGAGCTTTTTAATCTATACTGTTATCACACCAGACCCTAGAACACTTAGAGATGTTCTCGGCTTTTCAGGAAGCATACAGAGCAAGAGGCTGATAAAGCTTTAAACACTAACATACTAACAACATATTTTACTGTCTATAGCCAGCCACCCATCTTCACTGTCAATGTAGCCAGGCACCCATCTTCACTGTCAATGTAGCTAGGTACCTATTCCTACTATGGTGAAATGAGGAAAATTCATGTAAAGTGCCTTTCCCAAGGACACAATATTTGGCCCCTGACAGGGTTCAAACACACGACCTTTCCGGTACGAGTCCAACAGCCTAACCATTAGACTATCGACACCACAAAAAATATTATAACATAGAACTCAGAAAAGGTTAGAATGTGGGTAGAAAAACCACAAATATATAAAACAAGTAGGAACAGACAGACAGAATAAATGGCAGGAGGAAGGAAAAAAAGTGGGACCTATGAGCAGCATCCTCCAACCATATGCAATAGAAGAGAAAGGAAGAGAGAGAGAGTACTTTTATGGCATATCATCAGCACTCTACATTAAATACCTGAGTAATTTATCATTGCTTTCAGTGAATCCAAAAATAATAATAATTTCGTGTCTTATCTTGTTTTTGATCATACAGATTTCTGGCTTTGGATCCATAACAACAACAAGATTTTCAGCTGAAAAGTTTACACTACTGTTTGTTCCTCTGTTGTATCTGATGACTTCAGGCTTTGAGCACCACACTGTGTGGCATATGTAGATACATAAATACCCTGGGGTCCACTTAAACCAAACACATTTCAGTAAAAAAAATAGAGCTTTCAAAAAAAACAAAAACTTTTAAACCCCTTTTCTTTCTCCTATTTGAACAACCTCTCTAAACCAAAAACCTGGCTAAATCTAATAAAATCTAGAGGTCCTGGAGATTTCGGTTCAAGTGGACTCCTTTGAGTACTTGAGATTCGGCACAAGTCTTACCTGTACAAATATCAAAGTCCCTGGGTCAAGACCAGCAACTGTATATCTTGTGCTGTCCTGAATAGAAAACAATGGTATGCATCACTCACTACAGATGTGGGCTAGTTTAAGCAAAGACAAGCATTTCAACGTGGTAAAGATCATTAAAGTGCACAGAAAATGCATGACAGACAGGATGGAACAACAGTGGTGGGGGTGGGGGTGGGGGGGGGGGGGCAGAGGGAAAAAAAAGAAGTAGGATCTTCCAGTGGTACCCTCCAGCAGTCCATGTACGGAAAAACAGAGCCATTCAAAACTATCTATGACAGCTCTGTTTAATTCTTTCTCAGTATAATTATTGTCCTTATCTACTTCTAGATGTATGTACAGCCATTATCAAGCAATAAACTACACAAAAATGCCAATCAACTCCAGCAAGCAGCTCAGAGACGCTGTCATTTTATATCAATTTACATATACAGCAAAGTTATACATTACACTTGCAACTGTCAGATGAACATAAACGTCAACATTTTCAGCTCCGAAAAAGATTAACATTTCAATATTCGATATCCAGGCAAAACTGTTTCACAACAGCAAGCATAATGCACACACACATACACACATACACACACACACACACACACACACACACACACACACACACACACACACACACACACACACACACACACACACACACAAACAAACACACACACAATTGCACAACCATATATACATACATTTAATGTTTACTTGTGTATAAATTCATGAAAAGAAAAGACTTACTGCTTTCACAGCCTTTTTGTGCATATGAAGTCGAACATAGTTGGGGCTAGCCTTGGGAAGTTTTTCACTCCAAAACACCTAGATAATAGAACATACATATAGAAATGTACACTCCAATAAAACCATACAACAACTGAAATTCAGTTCTTACAAACATCTGGGCGAAAATTCAGTTGCATATGAAAGAAAGTATATTACTCAATATTAGTAATGGGTCCATTCAGACACACCACAAAGAGCTGATAATAATGTGCTCAAGGAAAACACATCACGCAAATTTATTGAGAGAATGGTGTACAGCAAAATCAAACTTTTCTTTACTGAAAATATTGGTAAGTTCATCATCAGGGTATAAATCAGGTCAGGGATGGGCATGCATTATTATAAAAAGGGGAACACAATCTTGAGCTTTTGTATTTGGCACGCTACGCTACGCCACACAGTTAAAACTTGAAAAGAAAGAAACCAGCAGCATAACACAAGTCCTGAGGATTTATCTTTGTGCTGCTATTTTTAAAGCCATGGGTATCGGGAAAGTAAAAGCTGCAGTAGAAACAGCACTACTTCTCCTCCTCCTCCTCTAATCAACACCTCTGAGATGAAAATCGAATCTTTTTAAGCTTGCTAAAGCTATCATGAGCCAATTTAGACTTTGATGGATGGACGCAGTATAACCTGGAGTCCCACTCAAACTTTATTTCTAAGAGTCTAATCAATGCCCATCCCTGTCGGGAGAAGTAGAAATAACAGCAAAGAATACCAAGTATCGGGCAACAGGCAGGCCATCTGTGTACATGGGAGGCTGCCATCGAATAGTGACATCCACCTTGTCCTGCTGAAGTCGAGTGCGTATTTTCTCCAGATTGAGAGGAGGTGATGGGTTCAAGAAATCTTCAAAAGTGAAAGTCAAAACAAACATGTGCCAGAGTTAGTAAACAAACAAACAAGCAAACAAACAAACAAACAAACGGTGTAGGAAGTTTTTAAACAAAATGTCTACATGCCAAGCGAGTCTATATTCCCTTTTTTACTTTATTATAGAAGTCTGAGGCTCCATTAGACACAACAGAAGTAATTTCAAACTTAGCCCTCATCTGCATCAGGATACTATGCTGAATAGAGGTATCCAAGGAAATTCAAGGAAACTCAATTGGATCCCACTCCCTATGAACCATATTACTTTTATTGACAAAAAGAAGTTTTTCAGATGATTTGAAGCCGTCCATATAAAAAGAATATTGTAATAGACAGTCAGCTGATTAAAACCTGCAAATTCTTTGCCATATCGACCGACCGAAGGGCTAGAACCCAAATGGCCGCTGGATCGGAAAAGTAAAGTAAAGTAAGTAATAGACAGTCTTTATGCACTTTGCTATCACTTACTATCCTTCTTGAACAAAATTTAGACAATAATTCCGCACAGTACAGATTTTCAAAAGTTCTGTGCATTGCTGACAGTCAAGAAGGCAGAAAGCTTGTTGAATTTCAATCAAAACTGTTTTCAGTGCAGGTTGTTTTTATTTCCATTGTGAACAGGCTACAGACAAAAATATCAGTTCTGATTCACCATAAAATAAGAGACATCAAAGTTCTAGAAAAGTAAGAATTTCTCTGCCTTGCAAAACAAGTAAGTCATACAACTACTGAAGGTTAGAGGTGTTACTAAAGAGTAACACACAACGAAAGGAAGGAGAGATAAAAGGACAGCGGATGCTTGACAGAAAAGATCAAACAAACCACACTAGAGCGCCAACCAACTACCCACAGTGACTTCCACAACCCAAATAATATTTCTGAAGTACAATAAAGCCATGCTTAAGATATCAGTCGCTTAGACCACACAGGCACAGAGACGGTGCGTTAACAGTGCAGTAAATTGTGTGGAGCACATCAAGCAATGTAAACACTGGCATAGAACAGATTAGGTGCACAAAAACACAATGTTGCTGAACACACTTCTGGAAAGAACAACAAACAGGAGAATTCACAAGATCACAGAAAGGGAGCATTGGTCAGTTGGGAAATGAAGGTCAATACAAAGAAAGAAATTGAAGGGACATCTTGATGCAGACATTAATAAAAATGAGACAACAGCACAAGAGATTAGCATGACAGTTTGACTTAAAAAATAACACCATAAAGGATTTTTTAAAATTTCTTTTCTTTTAGAAAGTTCTATGTCTCCATTTCTAGAGGTACTGCTCAACCACATTTGCCTTCTCTCACTCACAAAATTCAAGTTCATTGCAGCAACTGTATCTTTCTTTCAAAAATAGTATCAAGTATAAAAACAAAACACATCATTTGATGTCGTTCACACAAGTCAGAATGTATATATACTGTGACTAAAATCACTTCCGGAAAAATACATTTGTGCTACGACGTGGTGGAATCAGGCACTCGTCAATTTTGGGCGTATGGAGTTATTAGTATCACCTTAAAGCTTACTCATTTGTCTTGCATTTGTCGAAAAAAACAACCAATTTATCTTGATTAGAAGCCGAGATATTTGCGATTGAAGGAGATGAGGGGTTGCCTGGTGTCAGAGGTAAAATTAGAGAGGAAATGACCGACAAAGTTTGTTAACTCCAAAAGCTTGAGTGTCTTTGGAAACTAGAAATTTGTATTTTTGGTGCCTTTGAACAACATTTTTCAGTAAAATCCACACAGAAATATGTTTTTAAATGGACATAAAAGGTGTTGAGCCAATAAAAATATTTTAAAATCCAACATCCCAACGGCCAGAAAATTGCCGTTTTCTTTGATTTCACTATTTTGACGAGAGCCTGATTTCACAACGCTGCCTCACATTTAAAAAACAAACGCAACAATTCTAAGGGTTGTGAGTGTGTGGGTGTGTGTGTGTGTGTGTGTGTGTGTGTGTGCACATGAGAGAGGGGGGAGGGGGTCGCAGTCTTGTTCAAAAGCCTTTATCTGTAGCAAATTCAACCCCTGTACTTTAATTTATAATGCATTCAAAAGACTCATGAGTTTAACAACAATGTTTTAGGGGCATTCTAGTTCAGCAGGAAAACGTTCCACTTGCAATAAAAAGTTGTGCGGTGGGTTCCAGATTTATCCTAATTCCTCTATTCTTACGGCTCAAAAAATGGATACATGGCAACTAGCAAACTAGGAATACTTCAGTGACATGAGTGTACCTGTAAGAGACTGTAATGGCACATATTTCCCAACTGGCACTTAAATTTACTTTTGTTTGTTTTAGTAGAGGTTTTACTGCGCTCGCAACAGCATAAGGTCACACGAGCGCCAGAAGATTAGAGATGTTACAAGAGAGTAACAAACATAAAAAAGAAGGAGGGGAGATAAGGACGATAGATGTTTGATAGGAAAGAAGAAGCAAACCCCACCAGAGCACCCACTAGCCACCCACACAATATCTTTCCTCCTGTACCATTAGATGTCTCAGGAGGGGTGCCATTTAGGTCAATGTCTAGGTGAGTGGCTTTTGTTGGTGAAATGTATGGGACAGACAAAGTAAATTGGAATGGTGTAGCGGGACAAGCAAGGTAGTGTGAAGCCCTGTGGATCTTATATTAGACTATGAATGCTAATTATTAATGTTCTAAGACCCCATCGACACAATTCAGATCAGTGAAGAGGCAGGCTACTTGACCCTCCAATCAGAGCCAACCACATCTTTCAACAAAAACAAAAAAAGATTTTTTTAAAAACAAGAACTATCTGTTGTGATCAAAATAAAATGCCCCAAAATGTTTAACACTAACAGTAAATAGAGAGTACAAAGTAAAAAATCAGCTTACAACGTAAGAAAAAGTATAAGTGAATAGGTTTGATGCCCCTATCAACGCTATGAGAGTATTAAGGAGGCAGGATCTCCGAATTTAACCTCTGTCTTTCTTGAAAACTCCACAAATGAACCAAGTTCAAGAATGCCCAGCCTGGAATTCAAACCAAGGTTATACGTTCTGTAATCCAGCACGGTACCAATTGAGCTAACAGAGTGCCCATAACTTAATTTGTCATGCATTCACTGCCATATGCTGCAAAGTTTACACTATGTCTAGACTGAACTGCCATATTCATATGTTTGAGTAAGTTAAGGTGGTCTGAGATCCCCACTTACTGGTCACTGTGATATTCAGTTACCCCCCTCACAACACACCACCACAAAAACACACACACACACACATTTACATCTTCACAAGCCAAACTCGTTACTTACTTTTTATGTAGTTCTGAGCTCGGGAAAATCCTTGAGAACCACGAATGTTCATGGCCGCCACCATAAAGTTGCATTTTACTCCAGGTTGAATACCGTGGGGATGGCCTTTTAACTTCACACGAGACTTAGTTGTCTGAGGTCGCAAACAATAAAAAATATTAAGTAATATATATAGGTATGAGATCAAAAACAATCTACACTTCACTCTCCTTCCTTCCCTCTCTTAATCTTTCAATGTCTCAACCCTCCTCTCCACTGTCTGTCTGTCCATCCATCCATCTGTCCATCCATCTGTCTGCTGTCCCTCATCTCCTTCTCCCCCCCCCTCACCCCCCCCCTCTCTCTCTCTCTCTCTCTCTCTCTCTCTCTCTCTCTCTCTCTCTCTCTCTCTCTCTCTCTCTCTCTCTCTCTCTCTCTCTCTCTCTCTCTCTCTCTCTCTCTCTCTCTTTCTCTGTCTGTCTGTCTGTCTGTCTGTCTGTCTGTCTGTCTGTCTGTCTGTCTGTCTGTCTGTCTGTCTGTCTGTCTGTCTGTGTCTTGCCAGTCTGCCAATCTGTCTGCCGGTCTGTCTACAGGCCTCTCTGTTGGTCTGTCTACCTGTCCATCCCCATATCCCATTCTTTTCCCTGTACACTCACAATAGAATGTAAGACATCCTCTGAGTACGGGCACCACCAGCGCAGAACAAAAACCACCGGTTTGATGATAGTGCTGTCCGCATCCACATTCCATTCCACCAGCATTCCACCATCCTTACGCTCTTTGAACTTCAGTCTAGCAGGAACAGGCGGAAACACTGCAAAGGAAGAAAAGGCAAAAATTAAGAATATAACCCCCCAAAATAATGTTTAACATTGCCACTATTGTGCATTTAATTGCACATGCTTTTTCTTTGTTCTATTAACCAAAAATTATAGAAATTTAAGTTTGAGTTATAAGAAGCACATGGAGACACTAATGGTCATGTAGTGCAAGGGAGAAGCAGAATAGGAAAGAAGTGAAACCGAACAAGAGCACCCGCCAGCTACTCGCAGGGTTTTTCCCCCCCCCCCCAACCACCTGCCCTCATGGTCATTTAAGAAGTGCTTGGAAAAAAACAAGGCAGAGGGGAATGGTGTAGAATAGTAAGGAAGTCATGCCTAGCAGTGGAGCCCTCCCCCATAGGAATGCCCAACACAAATTACACGTATATACACACACAATTCATGCCACCTGAGTACATGTATAAAAAAAGAAAGCACGAAACCATTCTTTCAAAATGACATGCATGTTACTTCTAGCTGTCCACTTAGGCTGAGTACCCTGGCTGCACTCAGAAGAAACGAAGAAACTACTGAAGCCTCACTGGTTATTGAAGAAGGAATATGTATGCCCCAAATATTCAGGGAATATTTGTTGTCAAGTTTGAGGCTATAATTCCAATTATTTCTCAACAGAAATATGGAATTTGCTCAATCGGGACCATTCATGAAAGATTGGAGAAGTGGGAAAGCTCACCCTTACAGCTCTAACATAATAATCCAAATCTCCATCATAAAAACAATGAGCATATTTCATTTTACTGTTCAATTTAAGCCAAGTGACCTTGCTATATTAGGAAAAAAAACAAGGAATTCACTCATTCGGAGACCGTTCTGGCGCTCATATGACCTTATGCAGCTGCGAGCACCGTAAAAACTCTACTAAAACTAAAAGGAGACCGTTCTGGACAGATCTGGGAAGTGGGAGAGCTCACTAGTATTCAATTATAGGACATACCATCATGGTCAATGGGACTGTGACACACGTGGCCACAGCCATTGCCGCAGCACTTGTTCATGCCATCACAATCAAGGTCACGGCCACACTCCTCCACACAGGCAGCGGTGAATTCCTCCATAGCTGATGGTGCTGGACATGTCCCAAATTTAAACTCTGCTGACCTTGAGACAAACTCGCAGCTGTCATTACATGCCTGCCGAGCTTCTTCTCGATGTCGGATTCTGGGATTCTGAAAATATGTTTCAGAAGTTTTTTACATTGGTGCAAGTGAAAAAAAAAAAAGGGATTTTATGCACACACGGTCTCACGAAAACAAAAATTTTTTAAGCACATTCCCATGTCAGTCTTTTACTGCAATTAAAAAGCAAGACTGACAGACAAAAACAAAACGCGGGAAAAGAAAGTAGGACCTACCAGTTGAGTCATTAAACCATCCTGATGTAAACCTGCAGTAATCAGGAGTCTCAACATATAATACATATCACAGCTGTTGTAAAAATAATGATTCACGTAAAAATTACTCATATACCAGAGGTGCAAGAATGTCACATGTTACAACTTGCATTGTGTCAAACCACAAATATCTTGCAACTCTCAGATGCACCATTGTCATCTGCTGCGGAGTGGCCATATTCTGTGCCAGGGACACAAAACAGAGCTCATTTGGTCACTTTTAAGCACATGGGGGCTATCCCGAAAAAAATGGTGTTTTGAGATAATCGAAGGTAAAGCGTTTACCCCTTGTTCAGTTTCTTTAAAAGGCAAGAAGAGTTTTCTCTAAAACCAAACAAATATACACACCAATGAAACCAAACTTTTCCTATAGGTAGGGCAAAGCCCACTTTTAGTGTAGGTCAAGATTTCTGGACCCCCCCCCCCCCCCCCAAATATGGGTTAACCCACTTGTCCTTAAAAGTGACCATTTACTCTAATGCTTTGTCTATTTTAGTAAAAGAGAAACACAGATAATAACAATCATTAAAAGGCCACTAAGAAGCAAAACAGACAGACAAAACAAACAGACTAGTTTGGTTGGGTTTGTTTTCACACCAAAGAAAACAAGACTTCTAACAAAGAATGTTACATTGTTATCTATACATTATTCACCAATCCTAGGCTCCCAATCCCACCTACACTCTACCTCGGCGTGGAAAAAAACAAAACAAATGTGAGGAGACTTGGTGAAATCAAGCGCTTGTCAAAATAATAAAATCAAAGAAATCTGCATTTTTATGGCCTTTGGGAAATTTTTTTCAAATTTTCTTTTTTTTTTTTTTTTGGCTTAACATTTTTTATGTCCATTTAAAAACACATTAGTGTGTGGATTTTAATTTTCTTTAATGTCGATCAAAGGCACAAAAACTTTAAATTTGCAGTTTCCAAGGACTCAAAAACTTTAAATTTGCAGTTTCCAAGGACTCTCATTCTTCAAAAGTCATCAAACTTTGGCAGCTATTTTCACACTATTTTTACTTCTGTATCTGGGCAACCCCTACCTCCTTTAATTGCAAATATCTCGACTTCTACTCAATAAAGATAGGTTTTTACCAAAACCAAGATAAATGAACAGACTTTAAGATGATACCAATAACTCCTCATGCCCAAAAATTGACGAGCACCAGATTCCACCACGTCGAGACACTAATCTAAAAGTTATCCACCAACCCTGCCAACATAAAATCTGTATCCTTATTCCTTGAGATAAGAGACCCGCAACTTTTTATTAAACAGACAAGTTCCGCCATCCCTTCCCACAACCTCCACATAAAAAGAGAAAGTAGTTTAAAACTTGCAAATTTAGGTGAAGAACAAATAAAATAAAACATTTCTAACCACAGTTTGAGTTTCACTTTTAAGCAGCTTTCAATGTAATGTTGCGGAGGGTTTTCAAAGAGAAGGGATCTAGAAATTGTTGTTGTCAAGTGGAAGGTATATTTCAAGTCTACAGGCAAATGGCTAGGTTTTATCAAAACAAATGATCATCTGCAAATATCTTGCAAATATTAAAAAACATAAGTGTATGGATTTACCATCCCCATCAATGGATTTACCATCCCCATCAGCATTTTTAGTTATTAGCAAAGTGGAACCTCCGAATTTAATGTCCGCATCCGAAACAACTGGGCCAAATGTGCCGAGAGTGTTGAAAAGTCAACGAAACAAGCTGAAGCCTAGGATTTGAATCAGGGTTATCTATTCTGCTGTCATTAGCTTATATATAGTACTAACTGAGCCTACCTTGCAAATAGGATTCTATGAGTAAAAATGCCAATCTTTGATAACCTAGAGAGGGCCACTCTTATAAACTCTCTCGTGGGGGTTTCAAACCTTAATAGTTTACACAACAGTAAAAAAAAATCTCAGCAGTTAGGCTTGCACTACAATAATTTTCTAATAATTAATTTTGTTTAAGACAGATGATTTTTTTACATTTTTATCTCAACCCATCTCCACTTTGTCCTACAAAAAAGTCAGCATAAGATAAGTGGACTTGAACTTCGGATTGATAGCTCAAAAAACATTAACAGCTTTTTAACTAGCCTATGAACTGCTCCTCAGCGACTTGAGAGACAGTGATCAATAAAAATGTAAATGATACTTACTTTACAGTCTTCCAAGCAACTGCTGAGTTCATTGTACTGCTGATCCCTAGGTCTGTCACAGGCATACAGACACTGGAACACATTCAAAGGGCACATTAGCACAACACTTCTGAACAGTAATCCTTTGATCTTGGGGAGGGGGAGGAGAAAAAAATGGGGGGGGGGGTGTATGGGGCAGAAAGGGGGGGGGGATATATAAGACCAAAACAGAGGACAAAGAGACTCATCAGAGACAACCTCCTCCTTAAATTCTGCTTTAGTATAAGAGAGGCATCATGGTGAAATCAGGCACTCGTCAAAATAATTAAATCGATGAAACAGTCTTATTTTCCTCCGGTTTGAGAATTTTTGTCGAATTTGGGTTTTTTGGCTCCACACCTTATATATTATAAAAATACATTTCAGTAAGAATAGTGCTAAAAAACGTTGATTAATGGCACAAAATAAGTATGTTTTCAGTTTTCAAGGACTCTCAAGCTATAGAAGTTTCCAAACTTTGGCGGCCATTTTTTCGCAAATTTTTCCTACTAGAACAGGCTATCCTCATTTCCTTTATTCGCAAACATCTCGAGTTCTATTCAAGATAGTTTGTTGGGTTTTTTTCACTGAAAGAAAGACAAATAAACAAGCTTTATGATTATACCAATAACTCCATATGCCCAAAAATTGATGAGCGCCTGATACTGCCGCGTCGTGACACAAAATAAAAGGTGAAACAGTTGTAGTTTTTCCTTTCTTTTCAATCTGAAAACTGCTCTTTCGTACATTTATAACAAAAAGGGTGGAACTAAGAGTCTCAACATTTCCCTGAACAAAAATGAAAATAGAACCTATAGACGTATGCCTACTGTTGTCTTTGTAAGTTAAAGAGAACTGTTTAAAGATGGATTAGCACACCCTGCAAAGCAAACAAGAGTTTTCCCAAAGTAAAAGAAAAACTCCATATCATTTTTAGGAAAAATGTGCAAAAAGAATACATTCATACATGAAAACAGATCTCCGGCTTCAGAGGAGATATTGAAAACTTGATGCAAAAAAATAGAAAATAATATTATAATCAGTTATAGCAGATTCATCTTCTGAAAACAACTTTGGTATCAAAGTGACTGCTATTATCTTTAAACAAACAACCCATAACCATATGAAAAAAAAAGCTTTACTTGACATTTTCTAAAGAATTTATGTCACAAGAGACAAATTGAAATCAGAAATGTACAAAACTTCAATACTATCAATGGCCCTCATGTACTGAAGGCTCTTTTACTTTCTATTTATTTGCGCAGCTTTTCATCCAAGCAATTCAGACATCTGCTGCCATTCTATGACAAAAGGCCGAAAACATCAAACAAATTTTTCTTGAGAGGGGAAAAAAATGCTGACAACCACGACAAGAAGTCATGGTCTTTGACTGTTTACTTATTTAAGTTACAATATTTAAATACATTCAAAACAATTTCATAAGGCTTCTATACTTCTGACATACAGAAAGGAAAAATAGTGAAAATAAGAATGGAACAATCGGCCTGTTGTATTTTGGCTTTGGTTTTTGGGGTCAGAGACAATAACTGAACATTCAGTTGTTTTGTCTCATGTCAGGAAGAACTTCTCGAGTACTTTCCATTGTTTGAGAGTTAAAAATAATAATAAAACAGCACCTATTTGATCAAATAATAAATCAATATCTTTAAACTGACTAATGACACAAAGTCAGTCAGTGAGCTAGGTACACAAACAAAAAAAACAAAAAAATTAAGGCATTCAAAATCATAAGCTATAAATTGACTTCAAAGACGTCTCATGGGGCTAAAAAGTGGGCATGCACAATTACACTATCATAGGATGGTCAAAGGCAAAGTGAATGAGATGCTGTATAATTTTAATATCTTTGGGTTGGTAAAGACCTGAATGTTTCACTTCAATTCTCTTTATGTCACTCCGATTTCAAGAACTAAATCAATTTTTGTTCGCTGGAAAATCAGCTTCGTAAATCCTGCATTGGAACTGCACATTCAAATAACAGTTTCACCACACAAACCATTCGAAGGCTCTATACTAACAATTACCTTATTTATGTCACATTCACCTCCCTCAAGATCAGGGTTTCAGAGGTGAGGTAATACCTTTAAAAAATGGCAAGACAATGAACCAATCACTTTATTCACTTGAGCACTATGCTGGACTGCCCTGAAGCACACATGATGTGGGCATGGAAGTGTGTAAAGCATCATGAACAGTCTGAGACAGCATTAATTTTTATTTTAGACTACCTACTGTGGGTGATGTTTCTACGGACTCACATTTCAGGTTTGAAATCTTATAAATATAAATATCAATGAACCACCAAATAAACTCGCTGCAAACATCGTCATCACTTCAGTTTGTCCTAAACGTTTGTTTTTAGATTACCAGCACTGAACATCTTATCATGCTTGGATGAAACAGGAGGACCTTGGAATTGCACAGTGGTTGTTTCACAGTGTTTTTAATAGTTAGGGCACCGGCCAGGACCTTGTTTTGATAACATATTTGGATAGTGCTCGTTGCTGGTTTCTTTAATTTTCTGTTTGTGCGTGCTTTACGCTATAGAGCGTTAAATATTTTTTACAGGACTGCAGGATCGTGCTCTCAGGTTGAACCACGCTTGATCGACTTCTCATGGGAACACGTGAATTTCACCCTCTACTTCATATTCAACATTTTAAATAATGCCTGCAGAGGAAGATGCATCAGGATAAAAGCTTGGAAACATTTGAGTTGATTTTAAGAAACAATAATCACATGCAAAACTTTGAATTAGTCACTTGGCCAGAAATCTATATACTATATTTTTACCCATTTGCAATTTCTGTCTTTCCTACAGAGGTGGATGGCGGAGTCGGATGGGATTGGAATTGTTTCTACGTCTCCATCGCCAGTCTCCTGAGGAAAACCAAACAAAGAGTATAATCAACCTCTGAAAATTGAAATGAAGGAAGGCAAAAAAAAGACCAAAAAACAAAGAATCTGATAAGAGAAAGCATAATTAGAAAGTGTAAATAACAGAAGAAAAGCATAAGGAGCAGGAAAGACAATTCTCGACAAACAGTTATTTTTTTCACCTGGAGACAAATTTAACATACTATCACTTTTGAGGCATAAAGATGAAAGATATATAGATCTACACTTCATTGCAATGCCTATCATCCCTATTGTACAGCAACAAAATGATACAGATAATTTTTTATCATTTAGGAGTTTGAAACATTAAAAACTTTGACTAGATGAAAATAAAAACTTTGGAAGAGACAAATTTTAACAGCTTTTTCTATCCCATGGTAGATGAATCCTTTTTAAACAACAGTTACACCCGTTTCTACCAGCTGGTACTGAATATCAAGCATGCTGTTCTTCAAAAAAATATATAAATAAATAAAGGCCTACCATATTATTCTTTTAAATTTTGTCACCCTCTCTTTGTGTTTTTGACAGAAGTTCAAAGGTGAACTTTTATAATGATTTTTCTGCATTTAGAAACCAACTGACAGAAATAAAAACCAACAAAAAAAAAAGGCCAGCTCTATTTCTCCGAACGTTCGGGAAATTAAACTTG